TGTTCTTTGCGACATTTGGTCGTTCTTGGCATGTTGCATATATAATTAGCTTATTGAAGTGCTAAAAGCATTAAGGAAAAATGAGGAAAAACAAAGCAAAGTATAGAAAGAATTTGACAGAACCTCCCAGGAAAAATACGGGTCAGACGTGGTTATGCAGCCCCAGCTGAGTTAAACAAACCCCAGCCACCTGTAATGCAGGACGGTGGTAATAGGGGTTTTCACAGCTGGGGCCGCGGGACGCACGGGCGGCGAGGTCAAGTAGTTGTATGCAAGAGGAAAGCTATTGGGAATGCGCGGTTGTACTTAGAGTGGTTTAGAGATAGTTACCCTAACCCCGAACCCTAACCATAACATATAATCCTAATCCCCAACTCTAACCCCCAACTTCTAACCATAACCCCTAACCCCAATCCCAACAGTATTTTTTCATCACGTGAGTCCACATAACCACATCTTACCAAAATACTAAGTTTACTTTAAGCAGAAACCCGTTCGAGGATAATTTACCGGCTGCGGCTAGTGGTCTTTTTAGACGAATTTCCCTGAACACTTTGGTAAAAAGCGTCGTAACTGTCTTACGAACAATACATTAGAGTTTGAAGTGGGCGTCCTTTCTTAAAAGGTCCAAATTACACTCGCAACGGAGGAGTGCGTCTTGCAAGGTTTATGGCGACAGTTTCAGTAATTGTAAACGTTCTTAATCAGAATATGTCACTCTCTGTAGAAGAAAGCCCACTGCAGTCATGTATCCGTGAAAATTGCACACACTATGATGTTGATGGAAATAAAACAGGAACAACTGACGGTTGGCAGAAATTCCTATGAGCTAAAATGCCACGTAAACGTCCCCTGCCACTCTCCTATGGATTGAAAATGTGTGCTCATATATTAGAATTGGCACGTCCTTCAGGCAGAAAGCTTTTCCGATTACTTGGATTAATTGGCTTCTGAAAACCAAAACAGCGAAGCCAATATAAATTTCCTGAAGAATTGATTTTATCTCAAACGGTTCATCTAGCTACAGGTGAGGAATTGAGTTCCAGTCTATCGGCTCGATTTGGAGCCAAACATTTGGGAGAAAAATTACAAAAACATTCACGCACTTTATTAAATTTAATTTGTTAGGAAGCCATCTGCGATTTTGAAAAGCCGGGCCTCACCGAAATGTGAAAGCCAAAAGACGAAGGGGCTTTATCACGTCTTTCATATTTGATAACAGAATACTCCATGGATAACGAAACTTGTTCTTACTACACCAAAAACTTGGCGGCTCTGAAAGCCTGCGATTATACTGCGTGTAAACTCCTTTGTTTATTTATTATTCAAGACTAGCTGGCAAAGAAAACATTGATGGCAGCTTTTATGCCAGTACGAACCCAAACCTTTTCTTTAATTTATTGCGATTGTGAGAATAGGAGGTAAAAAGCAAGGGGAGCTGGCTATTGTGTTGCGTATCTGTGTTTGACATTATGTGAAATAATGAAAATGCACCTTCTGCAATGTGCAATTTAATGGACTCCAAAGCTAGTAAAACGAAGAATGCATGAGCGTTTATTGATGCGGTAGCTGTGCTAGTGTGCTTCACCGGAGCAATAATTTCTACTATGAATATATGCAGAGGATTTCAAAATATTGATTAACCTCAGGTAGAAAAACAGAATAAACGGTCTTCCATGTATTATTTAATTCATTTTCTCTATAATAGCACTTCTTAATTGGCGCATAAGCCGAAAAGGCCCAAAGACACCCATTTCAAGTCCGCCAGACATAAAATTATGATCAGATTCCTTTCACAACTTGAAAACAAATATCAAAATTTAGGCGAATACTTTTGTTTCCCTGGGTAAAATAAACACA